ATATATATATATATATATACACACACACACATACATATACATATATATATATGAAGAGTTAATTTGCAAAAACCGATAAATGCCACTTTAAAAAACAAATGGACACACACAGCACCCCCAACCGAAAGCATCTTCCCACGCCCCTGTCGAGGATGGATAATTTTGACGAACTTGATGAACCTGTGATATCTCCTTCAGGGCGAAAAAGGAAAATAAAAGCGGGAAAATTTTCACGGAACCTTGCAAAAGCAGCGCGTTACAATTGTGAGGGAAAAGCTCTGTGTATTGCGTGTAATCACATCCATACAGTTTATGATCACAACAACAACTACGTTTGTCAGACATCTACATGGTCATCTGAGGAGATTACAAAGATTAAACGAGTGGGTTTTTTTCAACTTTAAAACATAAAATGTGGAGTTATCTGCTTTTGCCAAAAAACGACTGTTGGAGTTATCTGCTTTTGCCATCAAACAAACTTTTAATATGTAAAAAAAAACATACTTTCAATGAACTTTAATTTTGTAAATTACTTGTATTTGTTTAAGTTATTATTACTTAATCAAAACAACCCAACTGCAATTTGATTGAGATTACTTGGAATGCGCAATAAAAAACGTGATTTCTGAAAAAAATTTATAAAAATGGAAATATATACACACACACACTGGGTATAGAAAAGAATCACCCCCTTTAAAATAATCACATTTTGTTGCTTGTTGCTTTGCAGCCTGATATGAAGATGGATGCAGTTTTTGTTTTATCCAATTGTATTTACTCTGTGCAACTTATAGCTTCCAAGTGAAAAATATAACAGCAACATGTCATAAAAGAAGAAAAAAAAAAAACAGAATCACTGAGTTGGAAAAAAAAATCACCCCCCTCCTAAAAATGACTCGTAATCTCAATCAGGTGAAGGTGCAATTTGACTTTCAGCTGTGATCTTCTGTGGTCATTTTGATCAGCTCAGCATGAAAAGAGCTTTTCTGCAGCATTTCAGTTCTTGGTAGTGCAACTGAAGCAAACAATCAGCTATGGGTGGAAAGGCACTGTCAAAAGATCTCTGGAATAAAGTTGTGGACAGGTACAAGTCAGGAGATGGATACAAAAAAAGTGCAAAGGCTTTATCAATGCCTAGAAGCACAGTGAAGTCTATTATTAAGAAGTGGAAGTTATTTGGTACAATACTGGATCAGGACGTTGCTCCAAACTGGATGAAAGAGCCAGGAGGAAACTGGTTAGAGAGGCTACCAAGAGGCCTACAGCAACTCTGAAGCAGTTGCTGAAATTTATGACAAAGTGGTCATTGTGTGCATGTGCCAACAATATCACAAATTCTCCATAAGTGTTTTACAGTTATAAGTAGTTATTCGTTATTATTTGATATGATCACGAATTTAACAGAGTCACGATAATTGTGCAGTTTACATTTTAATTGCATTTTGCCATTCAAAAAAGGAAATGTATTTGCATAAACCCAAAAATTTTAATTCAGCCATTATCAGTGGGCTCTTGTGTGAAGTGGATCAAAATTAAGAAAAAAACATTTTTAAATTTTAAAATATATTTTCCCAGCATTTAAAAAAAAAACTTATGGCCATATTTAATTATAAGTAAAAAAAATATAAAAAATTTTAATAACGTATTAGGCTTGTAGACATGAGCAGAACAGACAATTATACCGTTAATCGCAATTATTTGTTTGACAAATATTCGTCAGCACAAAATTCATTCAGGTTCAATCCAGGTTTATCAATAGTCGACAACAACATCTACAGTGCAAAGTAACGTAATATCACACATAATTAAATGTAATTATAGCAAATGAGCAATACGACTGTATACATACATTTATTTTGTATACTATGTAAGCATTTGAACAGTAAAACTAGTGCTAAAGTGGCACAATACCAGTGGATATTGGGATTCCGGGACACAATGTCCCTCTCCAGTGCATCCACCAGATCGCTGTCATAGCCTGTGCCATCAAACTTCCTCTGTTCCACATCAGCAGCACCCTCCTGGGCATTCTTCTTACTCTGAAAACACAGACAGGCAGGACACATTGCTACAACACATGATAATAGGTACTTAGAAATCCTAAACTGTCTGAGCTGAAACTAAATCAACCATAATTCCAATTCTGAGTTTCCTCAGTTTGTACATTCGGCCTAATAGTTTGAATAACTTACTTTTTCATCCTTAGCTTTATTTCCACGGCCGTCGCGGGTGTTCGGTCTCTCTGATTTCACGTTTGGCTGACCTCTTCCCACAGGTCCGCGATGCTGCAATCCAGGTGACTCTTTTCTCTGGGGCTTTGATACAGTGATTGGCTTCTTCACCTGGACAGGTCCCCTATGACCAGACAGAGTGACATCATAGGGCATCTGGACCATGTGACCACATATGCAAACAGTTACACCACATTTGTGTTAGGCCATTCTGACTGGCTTTTTTTTTTGGTGCTTAATTTGTGAACCAATTTAGTCAATATAATTTAGATGTACGTATATAATGTCTATATAATACATTGGGTGCAAGGAAGCATTAAATTGGTCAAAAGGGACAGCATAGACATTTATAAATAATGCTGTTTTTTAGAACTTTCATCAAATTTTTTTATCATGGTTTCCACAAAAATATTAAACGGCACAACTGTTTTCAGCATTGATAATAATAAGAAATGTGGTGAGCATATGAGACTTCTTTCAAAAACTTTTTTTTAATTACCGATACATATATACACACGTATATACTGCCAGTGTACAATCAGGTGTAGTTAATCACCTTCTCAAAGGCACACAAAGCCATTTGACTTTCAGCTGTGATCTTCTGTGGTCATTTTGATCAGCTCAGCATGAAAAGAGCTTTTCTGCAGCATTTCAGTTCTTGGTAGTGCAACTGAAGCAAACAATCAGCTATGGGTGGAAAGGCACTGTCAAAAGATCTCTGGAATAAAGTTGTGGACAGGTACAAGTCAGGAGATGGATACAAAAAAAGTGCAAAGGCTTTATCAATGCCTAGAAGCACAGTGAAGTCTATTATTAAGAAGTGGAAGTTATTTGGTACAATACTGGATCAGGACGTTGCTCCAAACTGGATGAAAGAGCCAGGAGGAAACTGGTTAGAGAGGCTACCAAGAGGCCTACAGCAACTCTGAAGCAGTTGCTGAAATTTATGACAAAGTGGTCATTGTGTGCATGTGCCAACAATATCACAAATTCTCCATAAATGTGGCTTGTATGGGAGGGTTGCAAGAAAAAGCCGCTCCTCAAGAAAGGCCACATTTAGTCATGACTGAGCTTTGCCAAAACACACCTAGAAGATTCTGAGACAGATGAGACTAAAATTTAATTATTTGGCCTCAACACCAAACGATATATCTGGCTGAAATCCAACACAGCTCACAATCCAAATAACAGCATTCCTCCAGTAAAGCATGGAGGTGGTAATATCCTGTTATGGGGGTATTTCTCTGCAGCAGAGACTGGAGCACTTGTCAGGATAGAACGAACAATGAATGGGGAAAAATACTGTCAAATTCTTGAGGAAAATCTGCTGCCCTCAGCCAGAAAGTTGTCAATGGGAAGAAGGTTTACCTTCCAACATGACAATGACCCAAAGCACACAGCACACCTGACCACACAGTGGTTGAAGGAGAAAAAGGTGAATGTCCTTGCATGGCCTAATCAGAGCCCAGACTTAAAGGGGATCACAAAGGGGTGATCCTTTTTCCAACTCAGTGATACAGTTTTTTTTTCTCTCTGATATGTTAATGTCCTTGCTTGGCCTAATCAGCGCCCATACTTAAACCCCATTGAAAATCTGTGGAATGACTTGAAGACTGCAGTCCACAAACGCTCACCATCAAATTGAACTGGACTTGAACAGTTCTGCAAAGAAGAGTGGGCAAGTATTGCAAAGTCTAGATGTGCAAAGTTAGTAGAGACGTATCCCAACAGACTAAAGGCTGTAATTAAAGCAAAAGGTGGTTCAACAAAATACTAACACAAGGGGATCAGTATCACAACTCCGTGATTAATTTTTTTTCTGACATGTTGGTGTTATATCTTTCACATGGATGTTATAAGTTGCACTGAGTAAAAACAGCTACAGTGTGTGTGTATAATGTTTTTGTATTTTTTATGTTTATACTAAAATGAAAAACGCACACTTCACTCTGGTAAAATTATTACTTTAGCTATTATATATATATATATATATATATATATATATATATATATATATATATATATATATATATCACAAAAACATAAATATAAAAATATAGTGCAAAAAATGCACACTTCACTCTGGTAAACTGATATTAGCATAAATATAAAAAAAATATAAAAAGCTAAATATTTTAAATATTGGAGAAAAAAAACAAATACAAATACAAAGGCTTTAAATAAAGTGTTACCAAATCATCTTCTTTTGAAGGATAGTTTTTAATTACTGAAATTAGAATATCAAACTTGAGATTTGTCTTGAGCAAATAGCACCATCTTCCCTGAGGAGTTTCCCCAAACACGCAAAACGAACAGTGAACATCAAAGCTGAACATTACATTACAACATTAAGAACATTACATAAGGCTGTCAGTCAGTTTAAAATTTGAATTGATTACATGGAATACTTAGTCAATATATTGTCAATATACTGTAAGTCAATATATTGTTTATTCAATCATGTTTGGTAAACGTATGGCTGTTTACACTTTCCATCTGTGCTAGTTTTTCATCGTTAGTCTGTAAACATGATGGCATCTGCTAAGAACATGAATGTAAAATTTAGCAGCCCTGAGAGGATTCATGCTATTTTCTTGCAGCTCCAGCAAACATGAATGTACTCTTTTCACTATTTTTTTAGTAAAACTGCAACTCTTCAAACGCTGCACGCAGGGCCACGAACCCTGTACCGTATATGTGTAGACTAAAGTGATAGAGCGGAGAAATGGAGAAGGAAAAAGAAAACTCTGGAGTGAAAGCCCAAGACAGATAGAGAAAGAGTTTGAACATTTATTTACCTTTCCGTTAAGAAACACGTTACAGCAGCTGGCTGTGTGTACAGGCCACTAGCCAAATACAATTGGAGCAGAAGAGTCCATGATGTCTGAGAGAGACACGTCACTCAGTAAATACATTTCTTCTCTTTTCTTTTATCCGTTCTTAAGCCAGTAAGCTAGCAGTGAAAATACCACCTTGAAATGCCCAAGCAGTGTGTACCCGACAGCAGCTGCCAACCCAGGTGTAAATGTCACCTGCCCCTATGTCCTCAAGAGGGTCAGTGTGAGAGGAAAAAGAATCAGGTACTGTAACAGCGACAGAGAGGGACAGATGTAACACCAGCCAAGGGTAAATCATACTCTACTATAATTATTGATCACTGCAATGTCATGATGAAAAATTATGCTGCAATTCAAGTAAACTGCTAATAGTTCAGTGGTCAGTAAAATACTGCCTAAAATACCACTACAGTAAAACAAAGTACCATGTAAACACTTTTTTTTGTATTTACCTTTTTGCCTTGTTTTATAAATATATAAAATAAATCAAAATATCAATAACAATATTTAAAAATAAAACTTGTTTTCATAGACTATCTAAAATCTTAACCTGTTTTGTTTTAGTCATAAATCAAAAAATCTACAAATGGTTAAAAAAAATTCTTAAACCAATTTTTTTAGCCCAACATTAATAAGTCAACAAGTCATAAATCAATAAATCCATTCTGAAAGTTCTTAATTAAAACAAGAAAAATTATTTGCCAATGGGGTAATATCCAATAGTCTAATTAAAGCATGCAGTTTTGCTCATCAGGTAAATGTATCATGTTTTAAGGGTGTAAAACAAGACAAACAACAGATTAAGAAAATTATTTCTGCATTATATTCCTTCTATATTTTATGTAAATACTATGATACAGTACAGTGTATGAATATGGTTCCATTCAAAGTGTACAACACAGTACCATCATACTTTTTTGTGGAGATGTACTATACACAGACTTTGCCTTCTGACACCTACAGCACTTTGTCGCACTCTCACAGAGGATTGTTATAAATCTTTCTCCTCTACTAAACCTCGGAGCTTTATTATCTTATATCTGAAGGTCCCCTTGAAGCACTGATGGATGACCACATGCTCCATATCTAGACACTTTAGAAAGGAAAGCTGGCAGACTTTTAGAGGGGATGGAGAACCAAAATGTACCTCCCCCCCCCAAAAAACACCAGCTGTTATCATGTTGTGCTACAGACATGAATGATAGCTTAAATTGTGTGACTTGTTGAAGAGAAATGCGCTGTTATTTTTCTAACTGACAAGACCTACAATTTTCACCTGCTGGGTGAAAATGGTTAAAGAAAAAAAAATAATTGAAGGAAACATATGAGCCAGATCTAACCAGGTCATAGAAACTTGAACCTTCTAACATGATAAGAAACACTCAAACTAGTAACCATCTTTCAGCATACCATGAAAAAAAATACTCAAATACTCAGAACACCTGATTCACCTCTTAGCAACACCCTAGCAACCACCAGAACATTTTATCAACCACCCAAAATCATAAAAAAACATCCAGAACACTTTCACAAACATATTTTAGAACCAGAACCTAGCAACCAACCAGAACACATTAGCAACCACCCAACAACATGAAATACACCCATAACACTTTCACAAACATACTCTATAACCAGACCCTAGCACACCCATAGTGACAATCTATGATTGTGAATTCTGTGCAAATGAATTTTGGTTAAAATTGAATTATTTGCGTAAACACATTACATAACATTTGTTATTTGCGGTGGCATCTATGCAAATAACAGATTTGGCTCATAACACCACACGGAGACCTCTGGGGGCAGGGCAGGGGCGGGGGGTGTGCGGAGGTCCCGTACACTGATGATGTGGCTTTGATGAGCATCTATGATGTGTTAAAATTGCATTGGCAACAGCGGGTGCCTGAGAGAAGCAGAGAGAGGAGGAACAAGAGTAAACCATGCATCAGTAGTTTGATATCGTCTTCCCACACAAACAACAACATTTGCCTTCCTTGTGTCGTCAAGCACTTATCGAGAAAGCCTGCGGCCTCCGGGGGATCGGCAAGAGTGATTTAGCCTCTGAAAAGAAGAGCCGGCTCCTTATCCTAGCACGCTAATCTGATCTCAGGTCTGAGGGCCCCTGTGTGCTCCGGCTCGCTCACAGCCTCTCACCTGTCTGTCTACAACAGAGAGGTTTTGTTTGATCACTCAGGTCTGAGATGGTGACCTGGATGAGAGATTGACTCAACTCTAATCTGTCTTTGACAACTGAATTATTACAAAGGGCTTTTAGGGTCTAATAGAGGCAGGATCGTCATAATATGGGCCGGTTTTTACCTCACCTATTGTGAGAGGCTGTGTGTGTAAGAGTAAGTTGAAAGCAGAGATGAAAGACATGTGCGAAGAAAAGTGGAAAAAGATAGCATAGAGGCCAGTGAGAAGGTGTAAGAAGAGCGTAAGGATAAGAAGATAAAAATAGGCTGTGTGAGGGAGTGAGACATCCAGAGGAAGAGACATCTAGTCAATGAGAAACGGCAATGACAAATGGTTTGATAATGAAGGCTAAAGCTTTAGGAAGGAAATTAAAATTTTATCAGGAACCTAGACACATTGAAATTACGCGCATCGTTCATCACTACCATGAGAGCTTCATCAGTATAGAGATACTCTAAGAAATAAAATACATCAGAAGAGTTCACAGATTATATCTGGCCTAAATGAAACACAATAAACAAATCTAAAGAACAAACAACTAGCTGTCTAGAATGAAGATGTCTGGATAAACTACTCTCAAACAGAGGCGGACAGTAACTAAGTACATTTACTTGAGTATTGTACTTAAGTACACTTTTTGAGTATCGGTACTTTACTTGAGTATTATTTTTTCTGGGAACTTATGACTTTAACTTCACTACATTTGAAAGACAAATATTGTACTTTTCACTCCACTACATTTCTATCAAGGTCCTCGAAGTAGAAAGTCGTTACTATGTAGCAGCTTTGAAAGTCAGTAGGTGATTTTTTTTCTTCTCTAAAACGTGACTTTCTTTTTTTCAGTTTATCAGTAATCACATGAAGAGATTTCCCAGCATTATTTTGAACACTGACCAGTTGCAAATGTGATATTTACAACAATTTAATAATAATAAGTTAATATTGTGGTATATATTAGACACAATATTGTCTGATTTTGCTAAATTGTGTACATGAAAATATTACCTTTAAAGCCACAGAAGAACTGTTGTGCGTCTCCTAATAAAACACAAAAGGTGTTTGACTGAAGCAGAACTGCAGAGACCATTCTGTGTGTTACATCAAAGTACAGTGAGAGTGATTAGACAGCATTTTAAAATGTTTGCTTTGATGTCAAATAAGTCTGTTGCTGTTTTGCTTTTTTGTTAAAGCAGTGTTGCTGTTGTAAAGTTATACAGCTACAGTTGTCTTGCTGGGTTTTAAAGCAGGTTCGATTTTTTTTCTTCCTTATCACTCTGTATTTACAGGATTTCACTGTCCACTCTGTTCAAATGTGGATGAATGGCTACACATAGATGTGTGCACACACTGTCAGAGCTGTGTGAGATCACTACCATCCTGCTTTTGTGGGGGTGGGTAGGGGTGTTAAATAATATTTTTTTTGTTTAGTTTTTCCCACTAGGGTTTTTAACATTCTAAAAGCTCTTTATTACAAAGATACTACAAGCTAGTCAGTGTATTCAGTAGGTGTAATGTATTCTAAGTTACTTCAGAGGTATTGCAAGTACTACGTACAACAATAAAACAGTGCATTGACATAAAAAAGGAAATTTACTTTTGGTACTTAAGTACTTTTAAAAGCAAGTACTTCTGTACTTTTACTTAAGTAAACACCTGTCTTTACAACTTTTACTTGTAATGGAGTAATATTTGACCAGCAGTATGTGTGCTTTCACTCAAGTAATAGAGTTGAGTACTTTGTCCACCTCTGCTCTCAAACCATCAATATTATAACATACACTATTTACATTACTGTATGACCAGGCTGCCATATTTGTGACTAAAACCAATCAACATACCATGTGCGGTGCTATTTATAAAGCATTATAAAGGGATACTGCTGTTTACTTCTCATGTTTCATTATTTATAACGTTCATAAAATAAATAATTAATGATTAAGTTCACCATAAATATTCATTAGATGCAAAAATTTTACCTAATCATTTAAAACATCAAACATCATTACCCATCTAAATTTAAATGTATAACACAATTGAGTCAGAAAACAACTCATGCTTTTTAACTGTGGAGATAAGTGATAATTGCAAAAAAAAAATACAAATTGTATATATATATATACACTGTATATATATTATACATCTCAAACCATTTAATATTGTAAATATTGTAATAAATATTGAATGAAACTGCTCTTGAAATTTTTTTCAAATTAATTTTCAAATTCATTCTTCCAAATAAATAATATAAAACTGCATAAATTATTATTGAA